GTCATGATCCCAGGGTCCTGGGACCGAGCCCCGCATTGGGCTCCCTGCTTGGCGGGAGGCCTGCTTCTCCCTCTCCCACTGCCCCTGCTTGTGTTCCCTCTCTCTCTCTCTCTCTCTGTCAACTAAATGGATAAATAAAATCTTTAAAAAAATAATAATAATAAATGTAAAATACCTGACACAGAACCTGACTGAGTGCACAATGTATGTTTGTTGAATGAACATATGAATGAATGAGGGTGATGATTGAATGGCTGGATGAATGGTTATGTGGTTATGTGAAAATCGTGTAATTATGAGAATACAGGCCTTGCACCTTTTTTTTCTATGGGGCTCTCCATTGGAGATCTTACATCATTTTATCATAGAAAGCAGGTATTATATATATATATATATATATATACCTGTATATTTCACATTATGTTAAGTATTAGGTACACTGTGACACTACGCATTATAATTGGACATGAATTTGGCTGCACTGGGGTTAAAGCAGGCCTCTCTTCCCAAGTGCTGTAGTGTTATAAAATGACTGACAGAGTACATTTTTCAGGTCCTGACCATAGACTAGTGTATATAGTCCAAGACACTCAAGAATTTCACCATAAGGCTGAATTTGGTAGACCTATTATTTGTGTTGAATGTAAGTAGGCCTAGTTATTAAAGTATCACTAGGATCCAAATGCAAGATAGGTGTTTCTTGAAGGCTAGTCTCAGGACACAGAACTCTAGAAACAGTATTAGAGGTATATATTTATGGATTTGTGAGCTCTTCATAGGACTTTCTTAATCTAATTCATTTAAAAGATTGGTCAATGAGTTAGTGGTAAAGCATGGGAAAGATTCTAGGTGTCTTAGTTTTAGTTCATTGCTTTTTCTAGATCCTTCTTTTTTGAGGGTTAAAGTCTAAAATGATTAATGTGACCTATTAAGACTCTACCCCTCTCTGGCCTCTTCTTAATGCTACTCCACCCTCACTCAATAGTGCTGCCACCTTGGCCTTTTTTGAGTTTCTTGAAATGTTATCTTCTTTTCTACCTCAGAGCCATAATAATCAGTGTTCTTTTTTCTGGAATGTTCTTTATAACCTTTCCACCTGGATAATTCTTACTTAAAGTATTACTTCCTTAGAGAAGCTATTTTGATTCTCCAGACTATGTTAAACACCTTTGTTCAATGTTCTTTTGACATTCTGTATTTTTCTTTCTCACACTCAACCTGACCATAATTCATAGTTCTGTCTAAGCATTTATTTAATATCAGTTATTCTTTCTAGCTCCATTAAGGCATGGGCTGTTTCAGAGTTGCTTGCTGTTGTACCTCTGGTATTTAGCATAATGTTTAGGTAATAATAAGCATTTGATAAAGATTTGCCATTGAACAAATTCATCAATGCTGGAAATGTGCCTGCAAGGTGCAATGGTTGGCTCATCATATAGTCATTTCTACTTTAAATGGTCATGTTGAAATGAGAGCTAGAGTGTTCTTCTAATACCAATACTAACTAGTTATGCCGTCTTGAGCATGGCACTTCTCTTCTATAGTCCTCCACTCATCAGTAGAAGGAGGAGGTAAGACTAGACTAAATGATCTGGTAAGACCCTTTCAGTTCTGGAGCTAAATGTGGCATTTTTCAACGTACCAAAATCTTAATACTGGCTACTTTATTAAACCTGAACTAATAATAATAAAGGTGGAATATTTTTAGCCATAAAATAGTAAAAGCATTTCTTAAAATGCTCCTATAAAATATGTGTGATTTTATAATTTTGAAAAAATATTTAGCTAGGCTCATTTTTTACATGTATGCACTGCATGTCTTTTATAAATCTTGGACAAAGAAACAATATCCCAAATAATCACTGAACATTTTTCAAAATTGAAATGGAAAAAATCTATATTTACAGAAACAGTCTTCACCAAAGCTTAAATGTTTGTGAGACTCTGGCTAAGCCTGTTATAAGCTTTACTACATTGTTGGTTTTATAAACCTCAACTGTGTTTGGAAATGAATATTTATCCTCATCATTGTGACTATGAACTATGATCTCGGAATCCTATGTGGAATGACACTTTTGTAAACTCTTATGCAATAGTTTATCAGAGTTTAACCTTTCTCTTTCCCAAACCATTAGCCTGCAAAGGAGTTTTTGAACTAAAGCTATTTATTTGAATAACTCATATTTTATGTTCTTCCAAAAAAGGATGCAGTAGCATTTAGAGAAACTAAATAAGTAACTAGGCTGAGAAGAAAAATTGGTACTACCCCTCAGTTGCTACTCAACAGTAGAATATGTGTCAGAAAAGTTTGAGACAGGTGACTGAAGCTAGCAGTTATTGAAAAGCTTTCTAGTTAACATTTTAACAAATGACTTCAAAAGATTAATTTCTTGTGAAACAGTGTGATTTAATTTGGGCTGGGTTTATTTTCCCTTTTTTTTTTTAAACTTAGGAGCATAAAATTATTCATTAAATATCTTCATATACCACTTCTGTTGCCTCATTTATAGAGAATATCTCTCCTTCCTAACATCCAGTGATTTTATATAGTATGTTAATTCAGAAAATATTGGTTGGTTATCTTTTATTTGCAAGGCATTATTCTTGCTGCTAGGCATTCAAATAATCAGGTGGATCATGACTTCAATAAGCTTATGGTCTATCCAGCATGGTAAGACATATGTGTACAACTAAACACAGGTTTAAAAAAAGTGATAGGTACCACAAAAAAGGTGCACATCAAGTGTTCAGGATCTATATCTTACATCTTCTCCAAAGCTATGTGTTTGTTCCAAGACTTTGATTCCTCCACAGTTTCTAACATAGAGACTTGCGTATGGAATATATTCAATTAATGTTGGCTTAGAAGATGAGCTGTCTGTGAAATCCTTTGGTAAAGCTGCACCTATTCAGTGAATGGCATTCTTTTTATCTAGGTCAGATCTGAAGTCTTTAGTCTGAAAAGCATGGTACTTACATCTAAAATTATATATTATATATATATTTTGTTAGATAGGATGTGACAATTTTTACCTTTGTGAGCGCCTTCTATGTTTATATTGGGCTCTATTTTCTGATTTTTAGTTCAAGGCTTATTCTACTCCATCTTATCTGATACCCAGTTGGCCCAGCTCTGTAAGTGTTATGGTATGTGGTGATGCTGCTTCTTGCCATGACCAGTGATCACAGCTCACAGGGAACTCTGAGGAATCTCAGTATTTCTGGGGTCTTTCCTCTCTTAGGTACAAACCACTAGAAAGAGATATGAAATAAATGGTTTTCAAAGCTTTAGAGGAAGCAATTAATATTATTTCTAAAAAGCAGTCCGAAGACTTTCTGAATTTAGTCAGCTTTTTTAAAAACAGATTCGTTCCCAAGGATTTGTTTTTCTGTGTTTTCCCTAGTTGAAGTTCCCTGGAGGAGTCAAAATTGAGTAAAATTGACTTTCTTCTGATCTTGTGAATTATTGAGGGAAAATGAAGGCATAAATGATACCTAAGGACTTTTGCCTCTCTAAGATTTCATGAGTCTTTAATACTCAGTAGGAGGGCATATTGGTCACAACGCCAGATACTGTGTGGCCCACGCTTTTTCAGCTCTCAACCATCTTCACTCTATTCAGTATAAAACTTTTCTTCAGTGTTTTTATCCAAGCAGAAAAATTTCAGAAGCTTCACTTGCCCCCGCTTTGGAGATACCTGGGTGAATTTCAAAGGAAAAGGATACTACAGAGTAAAAAGAAAACAGAAGATTCTGGTAGCCTTTTCTCCCCAAGTTCTAGCAATTTGACCGATTCTTACTTGTGAATTTTTCTTGCCACTGAGTCATTGCACATACAGAATTATGAAACTTTAATTTCTTTAGAGGCTTGTTATATTAGAAAAATTGTTCCAAAGAAAGCAACAATCATGACATAAGCACATCTGGCTCTTGCAAATTATTCTTTATTAAGCTTTCATTTAATTACATGTGCTGAAAGGTCTGTTTTTGATTACTGTTAATTTTTTTTATTTGTCCATCTGAATGATAGTAAAGCTGGAAATTACATACAAACCACCTGTTTTTTTCCCTTACTAATATGGCAAAGTTTGAGCTATTTTCTCTGTGGTTGATGAACTAGGAAGCTTTCTATTTATTATGATAAGAAATATGACTATCAAGGTAATGGCTTAATCTTGATTATAAGAAGAAAAGAAAATATTTGAATGGAGTTTCCAAGCATTAAATAGTGTGAAGATTGAGGTATCTGAATTCTGGTTAACCATAGCAGATTAACACATTCATTTATTACCAATTTCACCCAAAAGCTAATAAATCAACAGTTAAGGATTTAACATGCTGTGCTAGGAAAAAGAAGCTTTATTTTATTTCATTTCATTTCATTCCATTTCATTTCATTTTTTGGTCAAGAATCTGGCTATATTCTCTTGAGGATTATGTTATATGCTACCTAGAAATAAGACCTCAAGAAAACAGTGACTGCTGTTGAGCCTCGGGGATCTTGAGGGCAGCATTCTTATCATCCAGAAGGATCAGCATCCCCAAGAGAAGCTTGGTCAGTATTGAATAAGAACAATGTTCTTCCAGGAATCCCTAGGAAAGTTCAGATTAGTTAGTTATTTCATGAATATTAAAATTACATGAATGGACATACTGACATTTGAAGAACTTTTTATAACAATTTTAGGCACTAGAATGAATCATAGAAACCATTTAGTCAAATTCCTTTTTGTACCGAAGATACTGAGTTCTAGAGCACTCAAACCCTTTGTTCAGGTTCATAGAGTTATTGCTAGAAGGACCAGGACCAGGACAATGGCTCTCATGCTAGTACCCTTTCTTTGTATTATTTGGTCTCTCTTATTTCCCCTTTAAAAAATAGTGAAAGAGAAATTGTAGGGCCGTCAGAGAAATAGTTATCTAACAATATGGTAAGATTTTTGCGAAACTCAATTTCAGCTGCCTTTAAAAAGATAATGTTTGTCTTCTCTGTTTTGCAGCAGCTCTATGCCGCTCAGCTGGCCAGCATGCAGGTGTCACCTGGAGCAAAGATGCCATCAGCTCCGCAGCCACCAAACCCAGCAGGGGCAGTCTCACCTACCGGGATAAAAAATGAAAAGAGAGGGACCAGCCCTGTAACTCAAGTTAAGGTACTTACTTTGCAGGATTGTGAAAACAGTTTGGAAAACAGCTTCACAAGAAAAGTAGTGAGCCAGGCTGGGGTGGGAATAAACTGCAGGAAGCATAGCAGCACAAAGGAACTCCAAATGCTCCTCTTTATGGTAAATTTCATGATTGAGCACTGAGAAACAGGTGTTTCCCTTTTGATGACAATAGTGCCATATTGTGAGATCTTTACCTAAATCTGCAGATTCACTTCTCAGAAGCTTTTCCCCTTTGGATTCTGGCTTTTATTTTTTAATGTTCACTGGCATGAGTGGCCACGGTTTTATTTCTAGTCTTTGTCATGGACTTGTGATACTTTCTCTCGAAGTTCCTTCAACAGGTGGGAGCCAACTTATAGTAGCAGAAAAGGAGGTTCTCAAAACTTTAGATTTAAAAAAAAAGAGGGACAGAAAAGAATCTACTGCTGAACTTCATATGATTTGTTGATAAAGGTCTCTCCTTCAAGAATAGTTAATGTGGGCTCTGAGGAATGAGCGGTGTCATTATCTATTCATCCTTTGATGCCAGGTAGTTGTGCGAGGACAAACAGGCTCTTCCAAGTTATGGCTGGGACATTGGTAGATGCCTCTTCTCACTCATTTTCAGTGCCTTAAAACATGGCACCTAGGAGGTATTTTATGACAGAGGGAAATGGATGATATGCTCCAACTTTGTGCTGCAGCTGATACCTACAGGCGGTACTGGTTGGTTTTTATAATATAGTTCAGAGAAACAATTGTTTTGTATCACTGACTTACCTACTTAGAGGGATAGTCTAAGCACGGAGGTATTACTGTAATGTGCCCAAAGTATTACATTTGGAGAAAATTTGCAGGTATTAAATTTTCACAAGGGAAACATCTAAGGCCAACAAAACAGCATCAAATGCTGCAAAACCACTGAAATTGTTTTATTTTCTATAATGTGCAGATAGGAATTAATTTAATGCCGCCATGCTTTAAATTCTCCAAAGAAATAGATGAACGTTTATGCTTTGTTGTTAGAAATTTTGAGGTATGACAATAGGCAGCTTACACTTAATAAGGTAGCATGACTTATGGAAACAGGCTATCTATTTTGTGTCCCAAGAGTTTCTGTTTGTGAGTAAGAGTCAGAACACTACAAGTCAAACCAAAGCACTTTGTTTAATTATAGTTGTTAGAATGTGGACATATCAAACATTATTGACTTGAGGTATTGAATATTAGATATTTAACATGAAAAAGTCATTTTAGAAGTGACTTGGCCAAATGGAACTGCACCAAACCAAGCCTTTACTAGATGAGTAAAATGTTCCCTGGTTAAATTCAAGTTTACGTCTGCTTTTACCATTCCAGCTTTGTGGGCCAACTGAGTTTTATTACTCACTTGACCACATGCAAATTCTTAGGCAGTTCTCTATATAATTTGACTTGACCATATTTTATGTTAATAACAAAGGAAACATTCTTTATACTTATTAGATTGTTTATTGTATGTGTGGGTAAAAATATATAGATCGAGACATAAAGCAAATGTTTTAATAAAAAAAATAACTGCTACCTATTATTGAAGAAGTTCTGAGAGTAATCTCATGAATTGGTAATTGAAAGGATTATGGTCACTAAAATATGATTCTGTCTATAACCATTGCTTTCCCTCTGTATATAACGTGACCACATGACATAGGGCATAGCTTGCTGAAGGTAACAAAATTAAACATAGATGGTCTTATATACCTTCTTTCCCTCAGAATTTTTATCTACTATAATTATCAACATCAGAACTTAGAATGGTTTTTGTTGTTGTTGTTCAAATTTCAGTTCTACCACTTTTACCATCTGTGTCACTTTGGGCAAGTTACTTAACTTCTTTCAGCCTTAGTTTTCTGCTCTGAAAAATGGGAGTTAATATTATAAGTCTTAAATCCTCTAGCAGATAGTGAGTATTCACCCCATAAATGTAAGTATAGTGACTGTGATGATCGTGATCTGATGGTAATAAAGAAGATGATGGTGGTGTTGGTGGTAGTGGTTGTAATGGAAATATCCAGTTGTATACCAAGAGAGAGCCTAACTGAATACCTAGAGGATTTCCATGTTCAGCTACAGTGGAGGAACTGGGATCAGATTTAGTCTCCCAGCTTAAGCAACTGAAACATCGGACAAAATATATAAAACAATGATTCTCAGACATTTGCAATAGGAATATAGAACAGTGATTCCTGAGAAAAGAGAAACAAGTGAGGCAAGTACTACGATTATTCCAGCTTACTGTCTAGAGGTGGTTTCTAGGTCAGAGGGCAAGTAGGGCTATCCACATGGAACATGGCAGGCTCCCTGAGTAGAGACATAGAGTTCAGAGTTTGGGGACGCCAAGGTAGGCAGGATTTGTGAGGTAGAGTACCAGAGAGGAGGGGGCTGCACACTGAGAGAGAGTACTGAAAATCTGTAGAAGATTCCCCTGTATTTAGCTGAATATTCATCAGCATATGCATATGAGGAAACTCTCTGAGGCCAGGGGAGAATACCAGATGTAGCAGGCAAAGCAATTGCAAGGTTCACAAAGGACTGAGAGTGGCTTGTATTCCCATTAGCCAGAGTGGAAAGATCTCCTGACATACGGGGTATCAAGTAGTGTTGCCCAAAGGGTGTTACCTCAGTAATGGGATCAGATTACCCCTAGATTAATGGCTTCTCTGAACCTACCTCACAAGCTTAAAAGCAAGCCTAGAAAGGACCAAATTTTTCTGTGTCTCAGAAGAAAGTCCACAAATATTTGAAAGAATACACGAACTCCAACACCCAGCAATGTAAAAATTCATAGTGTATAGCATCCGTTCAATAATTACCAGGCTTTTGTAGAAGCAAGAGAATATGAACAATAATGAGGAGAAAAGTCAATCAATAGAAACAGACCCCAAAATGGCACAGATGATAGAATTAGTAGTTAAGACAGTAAAAACAGCTACTACAGGGTCAGCCAACTGTAGCCAAATGAAGAGGTAGGCAAATCTTCCTCCTAAAAAACACCCACGAAATTTCTTTCAGGCCAGGGCATGCTGTGAGAACCAATATCAGGACTGCCATGGTGAAAAAGAATTTACTTGATTGGGAGTTGGTAGATGCTTCCTATGCCCAGTGGCATTGTTGGCAGAAGTGGCAATCATTGAATTATAAAAATAAATAACTGGGGTATAGTCAAAGCTGAAAAAAAGAGATGCTATAAGCTCCGTATATTTAAGAAGATAGAGGAAAACATGAGCATTAGAAGGCAAGACGTGGAACACATCCATGGAATGTCTGGAGATGAGAAATACAGTTTTTGAGTTGAAAAGTATACTGGACTAGTACTGATGGGATTAGACGTCAGAGAAGGAAAGGTTAGTGAACTTGATGACAGAATGATGGAGCTACCCAAAATGAAGTACATAGAAAGAAGCCTGTCAGTGCTGTGGGACATCACTTGGCCTAATGTATGCACCCAGAGCCTCAGAAGGAACAGGAAGGAACAGAAAAATATATTTGAAGAAGTAATGGCTGAAAATTTTCCAACTTTGAAGAACAGTCTGAACTCAGATACCTAAGAAGGTCAGTGAACTCCAAATAAAAGAAACATGGAGAAAACTATATACCTAGCATATAAATCACTGTTATTTAGATAGGAGTAAAGGAACAAATTAGTCTAAATATCCTTTGAGTGCAGAGTAAAGAGAAGTAAATTGTAATCAAGCACGGAAGACATTTTTTTTTAAAGATTTATTTATTTATTTATTTGACAGAGAGACACAGCGAGAGAGGGAACACAAGCAGGGGGAGTGGGAGAGAGAGAAGCAGGTTTCCTGCGGAGCAGGGAGCCCGATGCGGGGCTCAATCCCAGGACCCTGGGATCATGACCTGAGCCAGAGGCACACGCTTAATGACTGAGCCACCCAGGAGCCCCTCGGAAGACATTTTTGACATGCATAATGATGCAGTCGTGTTTCCTGAGACCCCCTCCTATGTCTAGATATAGACAAATGTACATTGCAACAGAGATGTGCCAGATTATCTATTTCCTACCAAGAAAAAAAATTCACTACATTATCAAATGACTTATTTTCTCTGATAGTTTAATAGAAAAGGGACCTGGGATTTGGAGTCCAGTAAACTCGAATTCACATGTTGTCCTTCCATGTATGGCTTTGAACAATGATTTTATCACTCTGACCCTTCCTTCTTTGTGAATTTAGAATAATACTGCCCAACCTCATAGACTTACTGCTAGTTAAATGAGCTAATATACGTGAAAATGTCTAGCAGAGTCCTTGGTGTATATACTGGCTTCTCTGTGCATGTTGTTTCTATTTTCTCTTTCTGATCATTCTCCTGAGTAGCCTTTTCTGGCATCTCTTTTTGTCCCCCCTTAAACAATGACCATGATACTAGGGGAGACCTTAGAGATCAGGTAGGATCAGGCTCTCTTCCCAAAGGGGAGGAGGATGTTCTGTTTCCAAGCTCTATTGTGTTTTAAAAAATGACATTGAAAAAGTTCTCCATGCCTTCTTAGAAGCAAAAGAGAAATTAACACTTGCTGACAATTTTATTGTAGAACACAATAATATAGATCTTAAAACTGAACATTTAAATGAAGATGTTTATATTACAACTTAATTTCTAAAACGATGGGCATGTTGTTATATGTGTTTAATGGCAGGATACATGAGACAAAATAAAGGCAAGGAGTTTAGCTTTCAAGCTCCTGCTTACACTAGAGTTACAAGTCAGATACTTGAATACTGTGCCCAGTATAGAAGAACAGACATCTTAAAATAAACATTCTGTAAATATACACAGCAAAGAATTTTATAAAGAGACATCACTTTAGACACGAAAAATAAATTACATATAGCATGGTATGTAAAACATAATTATAATGTGTGCTTGCTCTTTGCAAAAATTAATTTTAAACCTGAATAGAGACCAGAATATAGGCCATGAGGAGTGTCCACACCCAGAAAGCCACATAGAAACCATGCTGTGGCATGTGGCTCCCTGGGCAGAGGCCCAGGAGAGCAGAAGAAGCCGGTGTTTCCATTTTTAAAGTACTTGCAATTGTTTGATTTAAAATATATATTAAAAAATTAGCTGCAGAGCCTATTTATAGTTGCAGGAACTTTTCAGAGAGAATAACACAAAAGCACTACAGAGCTGCTGAAATTTTAAATAATTCTTTGTAAATGCCCTAGGTTAATTTAGATCCTTGAAAACACATTAGGAAATTAAGCTGTAATGTGAGCTAATTCAGATTTTAATTTGGCAAAAAGAATGATCCAACTACACAGTTAATGTAAATAGAAGCATAACACAGGGAAATTAATGAGGTTTCCTTCCGATGAATCTTCGAGGAGGTAGATAATTAGCTTCTTTTGTTATTATTGTAGGAGAACGTGGCATTGTCTCTGAGGTGTAAAATAACTGTGGCTTACTAAGTGATAATGTGCTTCATTTGTCTTTTTTTCTTTAATAATGATTTATGTTGAACTCTTGTAGGATGAAGCAGCAGCACAGCCGCTAAATCTCTCTTCCAGACCCAAGACGGCCGAGCCTGTGAGGGCCCCCACATCTCCCGCCCAGAGCCTCTTCCCAGCCGGCAAAACCAGCCCCGTCCATCTGCCCAACAAAAGCGGCATCCCCAGCCCTGTTGGAGGAAGCTTGGGAAGAGGATCCTCTTTAGGTAAATGGAAAGGTCACCAACAGGAAGAGATTTATGAATTAGGTAAAAGAAAGCAAACCTGTCCAGTGATGACTGATCCCTGTTTCCAAAGTGTTCCTTAGTCCAAGGGGGAAAAAAAAAAGTAAAAGTAAAATCTTTTCTACTGAAACAAAACTCCTTTTGGTGTCTTGAGTGGTTAGAACTTTTGGAAAAGGTCGTAATATAAATACTGCTGGGATGGGTTCTTTAGAGACTGCTGAGTTAGATCCAGCAAATCAGAGACTTGGGGATTTCTGTGTTCGGTTAATGCTTTGTCACTGAAGTAACTCTAGGCGGACAAGAGACTCCAAGGGGCTAAAGGGACCTGGCCTCCAAGCTGCCTGCCAAAAGTCCAAAATTTCTTCGAAGTTTTATATTTTCTTTTTAAAATGTATGTGAATTTTACATCTTATCCCATATTAGTTTTGCATTAAAACAAATGTGAATGACACACTTCAATGACATAGTATGAAATAAAATTGATACCTGATAAGATATGTCATAATGATCTTCGGGCTTCTTACACTCTCTGATATATTGCCAAGTATCTCTAGGGACATTCATACTCCAATGAGAAGTAAAGAGGGAAAACATGGGTTTTGGCATCAGACAGACTTGGACTCAGAGCCTTCACATACTCGCTAGGTGACTCTGGGAAAGTTATTTAATATCTTTGAACTCAGTTTCCTAATCTCTTAGAGGGGAATATTATTACCTAGGTCATAGGTTATTATGAGAATCCGGAGAGAAAAATGCATATAAAATGCCTAACACAGTCTCTGGCACCTAGAAGGCATATAATTTAAAAAAAAAAACTAGACTGAACCAATACCACCACATTTACATATACATGTGGAATAGAACAATAAACTTGAAAGCATTTGTCAGTAGCAGAGTGCCAAATAAGTATTAACATGTTGTTACTAAGCCTCTTAATTTTCATATAAGACACAGAGATAAGAAGGGATTGGGGACTTGGAACTATGTTTCTTCACCACATTACCTTCCTTGCCTTATTGAGTCCCGGAGCCTGAAATGCTTATTATAATAAACAAAATAGTATGTAAGTGTAGCCATTTACAGTTGAAAAGCATTTTTGCCTATCTTATCTCATATGATTTTTCATGATCATCTTATGACGTAGTGCATTATTACCCTCATCATATGATGAAGTAAAATGATTCTTACAGGTAAAATGGCTTGCCCAATGCCATGTAGCTATTAATAAGTAAAGCCAAGACTACAATCTGGGTCCTCTTGCCTAAGTTATATAAACTTGGTGCTCTCTTTTATGAACTCACAGTTGGAGTATTTGCTGCACTGTGTTGGGTTTAAGTGAATCTTCTGATGGTGAGATATACCTCTTCCTCGTTAAAATTTGGGACATTAGGATCCATACAGCAGCCTATTTTCGTTTTGAGTCTGGATGCCTCTGCAGGGGGCCAGGAGGTTTTCACTTCAAGTCAGTGATATTCGTGTGGGAGAGAGAAGTGAATCATTCCCAGTATGTGAATATGGTTGCTAGATTGTTGGAAGTTGTGAAGTAAGAAAAAAAAAGCCAACTTAAGGATAAATAATAGGCTTGATCTTGAATTGGCTTTATTGGCCTTCTCATTATCCAGTTTTGAATTTTGTTTGGAAAGTATTTGCTATACTGGGCATCATGAGGGACAAAGATGACAGCTCACAGGTCCTGGTGTTATGGAGTATATACTTGAGCAGAGCATGTTTCTTAGATCATAAGCTAGAAATGGGCTAAAGCAATCACAATTTTGTCCAGACGGTATTGGATAGAAATGTTGTTTGGTTTTTATCAGAACAGCTCCAGAGCAAAAGCTAAGAGGTTTTCTATATCCTAAGAAGCGATTGTTTGACTGTTAAACAACTTACTGTAGAAAGCCTTGGTAATTCTTTCTGAGCTCATGCATATGCACGTGCACTGCACACACACACACACACACACACACATGCATGGTGTGGACTTTACTCTAGCCTGGTTTCCTCTGTCCTGTCTATCTGAGGTGTATGTGTGTGCATACACATACATGTGCCATGAAATGTTCATACCAGCATACAAATAAATGGATCACCTTAAACTTTACCACAGGAGCTGAAATCGATCACTCAGCAAGCAATTGCCTTCTTTCAGTCTAAAAATGGGAAAAGCTTATGTAAAGTATTAATTTTAACCTACAGTAAAATGCAAGATATGGAAGAGAATTGGTTAGCTTAATTTTATTTTTTTCCCTCTGAGTTGTATAGAATATAACGAAAATAAATATTTATTCTCACTTTATTTGAAGCTTTGTACTGACGTGAAAACGATTCCCACACATACAGCCTCCCTATCAGGAAGACAGGGAGCTTAGAGCCGTAGGTGTTCGGCTGGGGGTAGGGAATGGGTTGTCATTCTCTTGGTAAATAACTGAGGCAGCATGATGAGTAGAATGCTTCATTAACCAGCCAGTGATTGGGGAATGCAGAGTGCAGTGTATTCCTTCCCGCCCCCTCTCTCCTGCAGTGGACATATGAACACACAGATAAAGATGTCGCCGTAGTACACAGAATTTTTTTTGGTAGGCCAGACACAGCTTTCCTGTATTAGTATACCCAGTATCACAGATATCTCTGTACCTCTCCTTACTCCCTTCTTGCCTACTACTCCCCCACTAATTGTTGGATCTCACCAGAACACACACACACACACACACACACACACACGCGCGCGCGCGCGCGCACACACACACACACACACACACACAGAGTTGGCAGTTGGAATCTCAGAACCTTCCCCTGTGAGGAGGTAAGGGGACAGGGCCCCGATTAACTGGCATGCTGGGCTATCCTCCATCGGCTAAGAGGCCAGCACATCCTGGTTTCCTGGGACTCTATGTAGAGTCCTGCAGTTTTCCGAAGAGCAAACACGCCCCTGTCTTGTTCGGAGAAGGCAGCATTCTACAGGGGAGTGGATAGTGGCAGTATTTTGTTAGCATCTAGCCTCGTAAGCTTCTGATGATGCATCCTGTGTATGCAGATATCCTGTCCAGTCTCAACTCCCCCGCCCTGTTTGGCGATCAGGACACAGTGATGAAAGCCATTCAGGAGGCTCGGAAGATGCGCGAACAGATCCAGCGGGAACAACAGCAGCACCAGCCGCATGGTGTGGATGGGAAACTGTCCTCCGTGAATAATATGGGGCTGAACAACTGCAGGAATGAAAAGGTAAAATTTGCTTCCCTCCTTCACTGGCTCTGCTAGACCCATTGGCTCATTCTCATCTGGCTCTCTCCAGGCAGCCAAAGCTTTGGGTTTGTGGCCTGAGGGCTGTTTCGTGTGTCACATTCAAGCATTACTGCTGATGAACACATACACCCTCTCCCACTTACTGCGGGGTTGCCTGCCATGCACCCAACCTGGCACCCACCCTACCTTCCTACTGGGCCCTTTGTGTCCCATTACGAAAGATTGAAAATGTTTTATGATGAAGGGGATATGAGGTGATTAGAAGAGGAATAGAACATCAGAATATTTTAAAAGAAGGAAGAAGCATATATGCTCGTGAGGAAGGCTACTGTATTACTATGACTCACCATTGAATTTATTACTAAGTTTCCTGTCAGCCAAGGCAAAAAATAAAACAAAGCAACTTACAAAATGCATTCATTTCTTTTTTGGTTCACCAAATTATGTATCAAGTGCTTATTCTATAGTAGACACTGTTCTCGGCCCCGGAGATACAACAGTGAACAATCCAGACAAAAATCCCTGCTCTCCTAGAGCCCATGCTGTGATAAGGGAGCACAGACAATGACAAGATCGACAATTAAATAGATAATGTAATGTCAGTAATATCAGGAGGTGAATAAAAGCCATGAGAGAAACAGAAGCAAGTTAAGTAGGGAGTTAGAGGGTGTTCTTTTAGATGGGGTGGAAAGGACTGTGAGGAAGTGACACTTGAGGGACACCTCAGGGAAGGCATAGTGCAGGCCAGCTGAAGAGCGGGAGGCAGAGCGTCCAGGTAGCAGGGGTGAGTGGAGGGTGTGTAGTGGTCCTTAGAGTGTACCAGGAACAAGGAGACCCATGTGACACGAGTAGCGCGAGAGAAGGAAGAGCGGTGGGACATGAAGTAAAGTGATAGCCTGGGGTGGAACATGCTGGACCTTGTAGGCCCTGGAAAGGATTTGCATTTTATTCTGAGGGTGATAGGAATCCCCAGATGGGTTTTGTCCAGGGCAGAAACATGGTCTGATTTACATAAAAAAGGATTGTTCGGCCTAATCTGCAAGCATGGACTGGAGGAAGTTAAGAATGGAAACAAGGAGACCAGTTGAGAGGCTGTTGTAGTACACTGGGTGAGAAATTCTGATTATCTGATGAATGAATGAAACATGCCATTTTTTTAAAAAGAGATGACCATATTTTCCCAGTGCCACATTCTGAAAGTTCTTTTTTTCTTTTTCTTTTTTTTTAACATGAGAACTGTAAAGGAACAAATGAGTAGCATAGTGGGCAGTGTCTTTGGTAACAGTTTTAGAATAAATTTAAAAAGTTATTTCCATTCATACGTTTATTCGGTATAGGCTGAATATAACTTAAAAGTTAGGACCAAGAGTCTTCTCTTTGTTTCCATCCTTGCTAGACTCCATTCTTTCTAATAAACTTATACTTTCCTAGTTCCTAGAAGGAGTTTTAAACTAGCATGTGGAAAAGGTCACGAGACAAGTACAAGGTCATGTGTACTGTTACTTAAGTATTTGAATATATAGCTATAACCAGGGTGTTGTTTATTTTTCTTTGTTTCCTTGTCAAAACGTATGGTGATGTGACACTCTGAGATTTTGGGTATATTCATTTCCTAAAACTATAACAAATGATCATAAACTAGATGGCTTAAAACAACAGAAATTTATTTTCTCATTATTCTGGAGACTAGTTTAAAATCAAGGTGTTGGCTGGGCCATACTCCTTCTGAAAATTCTAGGGAAGATTCCTTCCTTGCCACGTCCTAGCTTCTGATGGTTGCTGGCAAGTTTTGCCATTCCTTGCCTTATAGCTGCATCATTCCAGTTTCTGCTTCTCTCCACAGGGCTGTCACCAGTGTGTGTGTGTGTGTGTGTGTGTGTGTGTGTGTGTGTCTCCAAATCTCCCTCTTTTTATAAGGGCACAAGTCATTGTACACTCTAATCCAGTGTGACCTCATTTTAACTTGATTACATCTGCAAAGACTCTATTTCCATTTAAGTTCACATTCACAGGTACTAAGCGTTAGGACCTGAAGATATCTTTTTGGGGGACACAATTCAACCAATTACAGTGGGATACAGAACCATTGCTCATGTTAAATCAACCTCTCATCCTTGATTGATCTCCTATATTCTGTAGCCATTCTAGCAGATGGCTGGGGTTCATGGGCTGGGAAGGAGTTTAAGGGGATAGACGTATGATGGAATTCTCAAAGTATGAATGTGATCAGTCCTTACGTAGATTAGGAAGCTTAGCTCTGGAAGGGTTGACTTCCAAAGCTCAATGAAGAATTTTATTGTGTCCTCACTGCACTGACTTACTAAGGTTAGCATCAAACAATCAATAAAAAATTGGTCACTATTGCACCCCTTTGCCTTTGTTGATCCTCTTGGTGGGAGGTTCAGATCAGGTAGGAGAGAAACTATTTGGGGAAATAATGTGTCTTTTGGTGCCTGTTAAGCCATAAACTTTTATGTACTTTGGCCTCTTCATGCACATGCCAGTCACTGGATCTGCTCAATCAACTAAGTGCCCCATCCTCACAAGGCAGAACCCCTCCTTAAGAACTGCCTGAATAAATGTTTACATATAGAGTGAAGTCTCAGGACCACAACAGAAGAAGAGTCTTGCCCCCAAACCTCTTCTACCATTCTGATATTAGAGATAAACACAGAGTCAGTCTTTCAGTCTTTGATACTATATTCTCAGTGAGAACACCATGAAATAACATATGATGTGAATAATGTTATAAGATCTGTTTTGGGGATCTGAGTGAGTAAACAAGTATTGGCATAGAGATATTGAGTGGGAAATTGGGTCAACAACAACAGACTGGGTACATACACTTGGGACCATCTCCTACTCTGTTCTTTTGTCAAGGGTTAATCCTAAAATTAATCTGAGAAGTATGTCAATGATTTATTTGAATCTTTTTTAATTTATTAGTTTTCAAATGAAAGTAATATGTTTACCAAAAATTCTTTTTTTTAATTTTTATTGTTATGTTAATCACCATACATTACATCATTAGTTTTTGATGTAGTGTTCCATGATTCATTGTTTGTGCGTAACACCCAGTGCTCCACACAGAATGTGCCCTCTTTAATACCCATCACCAGACTAACCCATTTACCCACCCTCCTCCCCTCTAGAATCCTCAGTTTGTTTTTCAGAGTCCATTGTCTCTCATGGTTCGTCTCCCCCTCTGATTTACTCCCCTTCATTCTTCCCCTCCTGCTATCTTCTTCTTTTTCTTTTTTCTTAACATATGTTGCATTATTTGTTTCAGAAGTACAGATCTGTGATTCAACAGTCTTGCACAATTCACAGCGCTCACCATAGCACATACCCTACCCAATGTCTATCACCCAGCCACCCCATCCCTCCCACCCCCCACCATTCCAGCAACCCTCAGTTTGTTTCCTGAGATTAAGAATTCCTCATATCAGTGAGGTCATAGGATACATGTCTTTCTCTGATTGACTTATTTCACTCAGCATAACACCCTCCAGTTCCATCCACATCGTTGCAAAAGGCAAGATCTCATTCCTTTTGATGGCTGCATAATATTCCATTGTGTATATATACCACCTCTTCTTTATCCATTCATCTGTCGATGGACATCTTGGCTCTTTCCACAGTTTGGCTATTGTGGACATTGCTGCTATAAACATTGGGGTGCACGTACCCCTTTGGATCCCTACATTTGTATCTTTGTGGTAAATACCCAGTAGTGCAATTGCTGGATTGTATGGTAGCTCTATTTTCAACTGTTTGAGGAACCTCCATACTGTTTTCCAGGGTGGCTGCACCAGCTTGCATTCCCCCCAACAGGGTAGGAGGGTTCCCCTTTCTCCGCATCCTCGCCAACATCTGTCGTTTCCTGACTTGTGAATTTTAGCCATTCTGACTGGTGTGAGGTGGTATCTCATTGAGGTTTTGATTTGGATTTCCCTGATGCCGAGCGATGTGGAGCACTTTTTCATGTGTCTGTTGGCCATTGGGATGTCTTCTTTTGTTTACCAAAAATTCTAATACAGAAAAACATATGGTGAAAATGTGCTTATCCTCCTCATCCCATTAACTATCAATGATTCCAAAGTTTTCTTTGAGTAGTACAACCATTAGTGACTCAGAATTTTCCTTGCATATATGAGAAAGTATTAATGAGTTTTAACTATTCTCACTTGGTATAGTAGTCACTGAGTTGTCACTTACCATCTGTGTGATATTTAGCAAGTTGATTACCCTCTCTGAATCTTAGTTTCTTTGTCTATAATACGAGGATAGTAACCTGAGTTACAATGAAAAAATAAGATATATGTGAACACACCTAGTATGGCTTCTGGTAGAGTGAGCATTTTTTAATGTTTCCTATCCCCTTTAACTAAATCATGGGTGACCTTGAATATAGAGAACAAATATACTATTTTGTCAGACTTAAGAGGTCCTCACACAATAATGGGAGGGTCAGAAGAAGGAAAGAGTAGATTTTTCAGATTTTGGCATTTTGGCTAACTCACATAGTTAAACTCCCTTACAAGTGAGTTGCTATACAAAGCTATGGAAACTTCAGGTTAATTAAGTTAGATCAGGGTTTCTCAACCTCAGCATTATTGAATTTTTTTTTTTTTTTTTGCTTGATGATTCTTTGTCATGGTGGGGGGTACTATTTGGCCCCTACTCATTAGATGCTAGTAGCACCCCTCCCTTTGGTGACAACCAAAAATGTCTCCAGACATTGCCAAATGTCTTCTATGGGGGGAGGAAGGAGAATATGGACTCTAGTTGAAAAATCACTGGGCTAGATAAAATATATTTAGAATTAATACATCTCAGAAACTTCATTCCACAAAAAATTATTTCATTTAAATAACCATTCTGTTATTAAATTATGAAAATCATTTGCTTTTGATTAATGCTCTGAATTAAATATTTCTTGGAAAAATGCATCTAGAAATTTTTGTTCTGAATGTTAG